CGTTTTTCCAATTTGCCAATAACCGCATGTAATTGCAAGCACGCAACAAGATGTAATAATTAACTTTTTTATGCTTAATTTTTGTGTGTTATCGTGAATTTGTATGCTAAAATGTCTATTCCCTATTTATATTTTCGCGACTGTAGATGAGTCCGCCGAAAATTCGCATTTCTTTTAGTTTCTAGATGTTAAGCAATCTATGTATGAGTTTTCAATGAAATATCTTTAAATAAAGGGTTGGATAAATGTTTATAAAAAGCCTTCTTTTGAAAATTTTTAGTAAGTTTATATTTATACGCTTATAAACAACTTGTTTTGAACCTTTATTATAAGTTTACACTTTTACGCTTATAAAAAGCTTTCTTTTGAACATTTATTACAAGTTTATATTTCTACGCTTATAACCAATGTTCCTTTTCGATTATATTACGCTTACTTTCAAGCGATTCATAAATAAAAAATTAACGTTTTGTAAGCTTACGCCCAAATTCATAAAAAATAAAGAAGACTTTAACTGCTTTATAAATCGAAAATTTTTATGAAAATGTCACTTTATAGAGCTCTATAAACCTATTTTATTTTTTATGAATAAGGCCATTAATGTTTATAATTGAAAACTTAAAAAAAAAACTTTCTTTAAGTTAATTTGCTTGTTGGGTATCTTCGTCTTTTATCAGTATCCCTCATCCTCATCTTTTTCTTACTATATATTTATCTTTATTTTTCTTAATCTACATCAGTGCCAGTCAAAACATGTAGCCTTGCGAGGCTACTGGCTGCCTGGCACTGATCTACATATTCCCTCAGCTGATCTACATATGGAAAGCCGTCATTCCGGTCCAGTGCTGGCCTGGCTCCCTGGACTGGCATAATGCAGAAATAAAGAAGTAAATTATAATTTGTCAAACAAAGATACTCAAAAAAATATACAATTTTCAGAAAAATAAAATTATTCACGTTTGAACTGTTATTTCTCTTTTGTTCCCAAAATTTCAAATTCATAAAAAAACTGCATTACATCCAACATGACTACTTATTTCAATCATCCGCCACGTAGCATAAGTGATGAATTGCATCATATCGCTACAATACTTATGACTCCAGGCCATGGTATACTCATCACAGACGAGTCTCTTTACCAATTAGAAAAACAATTGGAAGTATTTGGTATAAGCCGCGGCGAAGCNTATAGAGCTCTATAAACCTATTTTATTTTTTATGAATAAGGCCATTAATGTTTATAATTGAAAACTTAAAAAAAAAACTTTCTTTAAGTTAATTTGCTTGTTGGGTATCTTCGTCTTTTATCAGTATCCCTCATCCTCATCTTTTTCTTACTATATATTTATCTTTATTTTTCTTAATCTACATCAGTGCCAGTCAAAACATGTAGCCTTGCGAGGCTACTGGCTGCCTGGCACTGATCTACATATTCCCTCAGCTGATCTACATATGGACAGCCGTCATTCCGGTCCAGTGCTGGCCTGGCTCCCTGGACTGGCATAATGCAGAAATAAAGAATTAAATTATAATTTGTCAAACAAAGATACTCAAAAAAATATACAATTTTCAGAAAAATAAAATTATTCACGTTTGAACTGTTATTTCTCTTTTGTTCCCAAAATTTCAAATTCATAAAAAAACTGCATTACATCCAACATGACTACTTATTTCAATCATCCGCCACGTAGCATAAGTGATGAATTGCATCATATCGCTACAATACTTATGACTCCAGGCCATGGTATACTCATCACAGACGAGTCTCTTTACCAATTAGAAAAACAATTGGAAGTATTTGGTATAAGCCGCGGCGAAGCAACTCGCATTCAGTATCGCAACATGCTTTTCTCGACTGGTGAAAAAATGGCCGACTATGTCTCAGGCGTAGCGGTGCACCCGGAAGTGTTGGATCTGACGACAAGCAGCGGATGTGCGCTCCACTGCCAATTGCGGCGTAAAAATATATTGGTGGGCGTTACAGTGGGTCGGGGGCTAGTGCCGCTTATGTGCACAGTCGGAGAGTTCACTACCCAAGGCCTGGATGGATTGGGTGGCAATTGTACGGAATATAAAGATTCCGGTTGTGATTTTACCATGTGGAGAGCTCAGTACAATATAGGCGAGTTCACACCATCATATCAAGCCATAATTGAGAATGGGAATACCTTGGCGAAATATGCAGCCATATCACAATCAAAACGAATGCTAGCTATACTAGAAGTTGATATCATACCGTCGGATGATAATGACTTAGATCGTGCTGAGAAAGTTGCCGAAACTGTTTTGATGTTCATTTATAAGGCGCTTTACGATCACCATGTAGACCTTCAAGGGACATTGCTAAAATTGCCTGTGTTGCATTCGGGCCCTAAGTGCGATAAACGTTATTCACCAGGTCAAATTTCCAAAGCAACGCTGCGCATGCTAAGGCAAGTAGTCCCGCCGGCAGTAGGTGGTAAGTTTAAGGAAATTACCAAAGCATATACTATTATACTTCCAAAAACAACGATATTCTCTTCCAAGGCATTATTTTGCAAGTGGATGGTAAAACAGAAGACAAAACGCTATGCCAATTAAATGCTTTTGCGGTCGATCCATCCCCAAAGCCATGGCCAATAACGTTTAGCTTTGACGGCGGTAGTCAATCATCGATTTGTATTGCATGGGGGGGTCATAAGAAGAATATTGAAAGAGCACAAAACGAACTGCTGAAGATACTTGGAGCTTTTTCACAGGCTGTTCTGGGAAAGTACGCTGCTGGTTCAATGAAATCTCTGGCCGATCAGTGTTACTGTAAAAAGGCGTTAAGATATTTTAAAACTAGACCAACTCCACTACCAGATGATTGTGTGAAATATGATGAAATATGTCGCCCTCCTACTGCTCAAAGTATGGCCGCGAAGCCCGAACAGCATGGCCAACCAACAGAATCGCCAACAGAAATTGAAGAGGAAGCAAATTACCCACCGCCTGCTGAGGATTTAATCACTGAAAACAGAAGAGAACAGCCTGATCCACCAAACGAACCACCAACAGAAGTTAAAGAGGAGGAAGCAGAAGCAAATGGCCCACTGTCTGCTGAGGGGTTAATCACCGAACACACTGAAGAATAACATATAAAACAGTACCAAACACAAGTGCATGTCAATGGCTGAGTGGAAGATCGACCTATCTCCGCAGCCAGTTCGAAAACGCCCTATCTCAGAAAACTTTCCAGGAACGCCCTACTCCAGAATTTGATTGAAGAACGGCCTATTTAAGAATTTTATTTAAAAACACCCAATCTCAACTGAAAATATATTAAAAATATGTTGAGATAGGGTGGGTTTGAACCGAATTCTAAAATAGGATGTTCTTGAAAAGTTTTCTGCGATATGGCGTTTTTCAATCAAATTTTAAAATTGGGCGTAAAATTCGGAAATAGGGCGTTGTTGAAAATTTTTCTGTGATAGGGCGTTTTCGAACTGCCTGCCGAGAAAGGTTGATCTTCCACTCAGCCATCGATATGTAAATTTCTCTTTTCTCCCCTTTTTTTTTAGATGCGATTATTTGGAACGAATATATAGCGAATTTTCTGAATTAAAAATTTGTTTAGGGACACACATAATTAACTTCCAGCTCTTATAAGGACATCTGTCAATGCTTCGTAAATAAAGAAATCTTGTTTACAACTCAAATAATTTCTCCACCTTTCTGCAGTAGCTTAGACGGGGTTTTCTCGATCCATTTTTTTGCTACTTCAGGTGTCCCCAAAGGAAGCAACTTGGGGCCCCTTCTCTTTGTCCTTTTTATCAATGACATCAGTAAATGTTNCTTTGCTACTTCAGGTGTCCCCAAAGGAAGCAACTTGGGGCCCCTTCTCTTTGTCCTTTTTATTAATGACATCAGTAAATGTTTTTCTTCAAATTGTCTGCTCTATGCCGATGATTTGCAAATTTTTTCAACAGTTAAGGACTCAGTGATTTCTCTAAAGCTACAATGTGACCTGGATAATCTCCATCGGTGGTGCGAGAGGTCGCGTCTACGTACATATTAAAAAATTTTTCCATTTAACGTTTTCGAGGCATCATACCAATTTTAACACAACATATAACATTGCTAATCATGCACTACAGAATATTACAGAGTTTAAGGACCTCAGAGTTATTTTCGACTCGAAATTTTCGTTCAGTTGTCATATTAACTTTATACTCAAAAACTCCATCCATCCATCCTACAATTCTCGGCTTATGCTTATTAATCTGGACTTTCTAGAAAAGAGAAGGACAGTCCTTCCACTGTCAATCACTTTCAATATTATTAATGGTATTATTGATTGTCCAGTTTTACTTGAACGGATAAGATTTAAGGTTCCGCAAAGAAATCTTCGCTTTTTTACCCTTTTTACGGCGAAAAGGGTAATGCTCCCATTGCTCGTGCTCTTCGAGATTTTAATGCATTATCTAATACAAACCTGCTCGATTTTGCTTCATCTAGATCAAATTTTGTAAAAATACTGATTGTAATTGCTTAATACGGTATGTATTTATGCATATTTTAGCAATATTTTAATTGCCAATTTGGGCGTGTTTATATTATGGTCTCGTCTGTAAGGTACTTTGCACTGTAGATTATAAATAAATTAAATTAAATAATTATTAATTAAAGCAGGTTTTTTGACTAGCCGTTTAATGATTAAATACCATTCTTTGCACATTTTTAATTACTAATTACTTTCAAAAAAGAAAATTAATTTATTAATTGTTTTAATTACATGATTATTTTGTTAGTTTTGATTACACTAAGCGACAGTCAAAATCGGGATGGGATGATACCAACGGGAAATGTTATATCGGTCAAAAACAAACGCCGGGCCACGTCTAGGAATCGAGATATATCGATTTGAAGTTAGTAACTATCATATAGGGGAAATTGTCACCTTTTTTTGAGATACCTTCACTTAATTGTGAATAAAAGCGAAACGCGTCCATCGATTTTCATGACCTATGTCTCATTTTGCTTAAAGGTTATGTGACTTTGCGTGAAAGTAATACGACTTGCCTTTTTTTCCGTTTTGGTTTTTTTATGAATTTAAAAAATAAAAAAATTTAATATTTTAGGCAAAAAATATTTTTTTTCTTCATACATTTATTTTTACCGGCAAAACTGTTGATTATATAGAAAAACGTTATATGAACAGATTAAAGGAATTGTAATTTTTAATTTTTTTAAATTTGTTTGAGCAAAATTGGACTAGTGGTTCTCAAGTTATGTCAAAAAAAAAGACCACCAAAGGTGACAATTTCCTCTATATGATAGTTACTAACTTCAAATCGATATATCTCGATTCCTAGACGTGACCCAGCGAAACGCCGGGACACGTATAACTTCTTTTTTTACCGATATAACTTTCCCCGGTAGTTTGAACCCTTCCCGATCTCTGACCCCTACCATTTGTCTCACAGTGTTATTTTCAATTATTTTTGAACTTTTTTAATTACATGATTAATACATATAATTCTTTTCAATCATTTTTGATTTTTTTTAATTGTGTGATTAATATAATTATTCGAATATTTTAAATTATTTTTGGTTTGGTTTGGTTTGGGAATAAAAGATCGATTTCCTAGTCCTCTCTGTCTGTAAGCCCACACATACTGGCAGGTTGTTGGTTGTGGCGGTTTAGTAGGTGAAAACCCCCAAAACCAGACCACAGTATCATCGTCCGCAGACTGGCAACACTTATTATTTTTCTATGAATTAAACCGTCTGGCAGCACCGCGAAAAAACCGATCTGTCATTTTGTAGAATTTTCTTTTTCTTACTGTTTGTGACACCACCAAATAAAGCAAGTATTTTGTAACATAAATCCGATTAAATAAAAGTTATAGTTAGGCATCGCACTATAAGAACTATAGAAGCAATCGAGCCATAACCGCGAAAGAAACGTAAGCTCCAAATTTTTTGCATAGTTTATTGCATACGTTTTCCATAAACAAAAGGCTCCTTCATATCCATCATCTGGCAAACAAATACAACAACAAAAAAAAGCTGAAAGTGGACCATACATTCTCGAGTTAAGCGCCGTCTGAAGTACTGTATATGCAATAAAACCTGCTTAAGTACTTCATGAAAAATGTCAGCTATTTGAGGTACTTAGGCGGGTTGGGCACTTAAAAGAACCCGCTTAAGTACATCGATGCGGGTACTTTAGCGAACATAATTATTGATGTAGTTACATCTTTTGTTAACTTACATATAGTCTATTCCAATAGCAGTCCGGCTTACAGGTTTTAGTTAGAACTTACAGGAAGCCGTTCCTATTGACATAAAACCTGTAGGTGTGAACACTTTTGAGAGAGAAACTGAACAACTGTTCCTAGTCAGAAGTTACAGGATTTAGTCCGGAGTATTTGCCTGTAAGTTCATGAAAAGTGTCAAACGATCAGCTGATTTGCATCTGCAAACAAAAACAGAAAGCAGTGGAAGCAAGGAACCTTATATATGAAAAAAAAAATGGTAGTTAACAACGAAATATTTGAATATGTATAGATTTTAATAATTATTTAGTGATATTTCAGCCAAATCAGTGTTGTGCCAATCACATGTAAACAAACCAACTGATGTTTTTAAAGGAAATAGTGCATTTTTCGTTCCCGTGCACTTATGCATCTGTTCTCCTTTTACTCTCACTTGAGAGAGTAAAATTGTAGTTTGACAGTTCCACAGGTTTTAGTCCGATGTTCAAAGGAACAGACTAATAAATATGTAAATCCTTGATCCTTGATATCTGATGCCGTTAACAGAAGATGCCTTCATGTATTGTACATAAGTACATATTTAGATTTGATCTAACCTTGGTATTCGTGTATTAGGGAATTATTAGAATCCAGATAGGAGCTTTAAAACTATTAAATTCGAGTATACACAACTCTGGAATACTTAATTTGGAACTTTGACTTTTATTTTAGCCTGAAAAAATAAAAGGCAACAATTACCGATTATTTTCCGCTCAAAAAAAAATAAAAGGCCAATTTTAGCTTTTATTTTTGTCTCAAAAAAATAAAAAGCAAAATTACCCGGTATTATTTGCTCAAAATAATAAAAGCCAAAAAATAACTTTTTATTATAAAATGCATAACCGGTACGGTCTCTGGTATTAATATAAAAGAAGTCATGTTGTTCTCTAACTGATATTCGGGCTGAACTTGTACCAATCAGGACTTTAAATAGTTTTTTTTTAATATTTCCGTCAGGGTGGCTCTTAGAGGGTTAAAAATTAAACTCGGCACATCTACGCCCACTCATCTTTCATTTGATATGAGTTTCATTTAAATTAATGGTGATTAAGTACCTCAAAAGTTCCCGAAAATGAAAGTTATATCTGCAAATCATAAGCTGCTGGAGCACTTTAAAGGCTCAAAATTAACCCCAATATTTACCGTTGTTTCTACGAAAGAAATCGAATTGGTTACCTACAAAAATTAATCTGGCGATAGGTTTGGAATTTTAGCTTTGAAACGCCACACTCCTCTTTGAAATCGCTTCATTAGTTCCCGTGCAACAAGCGTTTTCGTGAAGCTTTAAAAATTACAACTACAACATTTGAGCATAGCCTCCATATCGAAACGTACATAAGACGTATTCTACGTCAAAAATAAAAATCCTGCACAGGGTTGCCGGTCTGGGCTTTTCCTACCAAAATTGGTAGTTTTTTTCTCGTTGGTAGGATGGTAGGACGTTTAAATTTTGGTAGGTTTCTTGCTCATAAAACAGAAAACACCTTTGGTTTTAAGTAGTGTGTCACTTTGTCAGCACTGTGAGTAGGCTTTCCAAATTGGGACAATATCAGTTTTACCCTCATTCTGTTTCTTGGATGGGTCCAACTGTTTTCCAAATACCTTAAAAAACTCTTTGCTTACTGGCATAGGCAGAATTTCACCAATTACCTTCGGCGATTCTCTGAACTCCGTATACGCTATAAAAAGTTGTATCCACTGGGTATCTAAAGAGATATCAAGTGATTGAATTGATGGACGTAAAGGCAGGTTTATAAATCAGATTCGAATCGATAATAGTTTCAACAATGGCAAGGCTGTTAAAATATTAGGTTTGTTCCACAAGCTACTCGAAGTCACTTCGAGTTACACATACGCGTTCCACAAGTACGTTTTAGAGTTTATTTGATATACGCTGACAGTTTTAAATTTGCTCGAGTTTTTCTACAAGTAGCTAGTGGAACAAACCTATTTTAAATGGCACTAGGAGAAAAATTCAAATGCATACCACATATGAAATGTACGTGTGTACAGAATATGTAATTTTTTATTAAAAAGAAAACTTATTGTTAGTCATACATATTTCCAGTAAATCGGAGGATCTCAAGGTTTTTAACCACAACTCGTAGAAATTAATGGCAAACCCGTAGCGCGCAGATTTTCCCCCCAGCCCGACGGCTCCTAGACTCGGACATTTTACAAGCCTAACCGTGAGGTTTATTTTTACCTTACTTACACATATATACTTCATAATAAATATCTGTATGAAAATGATTGATGCGTAAAAATTCTACGTCAGAATTTCATTTTCTGCTCCGATTTTTCACGTCATTTACTCCGAAGGTTTTTCGCAACTTACTCAAAATTTTGCGGGTGTAGGAGTCAAACGGACCTCAGATTCGGGTTCAGCGGGTAGCATTACTTGTCGGTAGGTGGATATGGTTAAAATCACACACCACTTTTTTATGTGCTATGTATAATATGTACTTAAGTATGTATATACCAGCTATTATCAATTATTCTGATCTTTTTGTTTGCCTGGAAATCTTATTCTAAGTACAAAAAGCAGCAAAAAAAATATTTAGTGTCGGCAAACGCCGTTTTTTTAAATGGTAGGAAAGAAGCCATTTTGGTAGGTTTTCGAACCAGCTCTTGATAGGAAATAAAGTTTTTCAGTGGTAAACCTGATCCTGCAATGCGACCACAATCTGGCTCAGATTTTAGTATTTGGCATAGCAATATACCTCCAGGAATTTCCACTATCTACGATAATTCTAAGAGGTCGCACATCGAGTGTTTATTATTCCCATAGGAATTACAAGTAAGACAAGTAATTTTTAGCAAAAAAAAGCCGACTTAATATATATATATATATATATATATATATATATATTTCATAATCCAATGATCGGATCTAACCCAGATTAGTATGGGACCACCTCTAAGACACTACCTTTGCGATGCAAAAATAATTATCGCAATCGGTTGACGCGGTCCAAAGTTATGCGGTAACATACATAAAAAAATATATATATATTCCGACGAACTGATAACCTCCTCCTTTTTTGGAAGTCGGTTAAAAACGAGCTATTCTCTTTTGAGCTCAAAATATAATTTACTAAGATTAATCAAAATGCACGAAACTACAAGAATATATTGTTTGCATGTCATTTAAATATTATGTATGCTCAGACTCCTTCTCGGAGCCCCTTCTGGAACTTTTTGTACCAAATTTTTCCAAAACAATTTTTGTTTATTTTTAATCACTTGACTGGCGTTGCTAGAACACCTGTCATATGTCAAAACCCCTTATGAGAAAGTGTGAAGGTAAGAGTGTTGGCATTTTCTTTCCCTCTTCCTCTTTGAGCAAAAGCAAAAACAAAATACATGTTTTTTTTTTTGTACTACCGCTACCACCTTATATGAATTCGCCTTGTTTTCTTCCACACAAAGAAATTGCCTAACATAATTTGTGCGTAAGAAAATGCATCGCATCTTCGCCAAAAAAACAACGATATTTTTTAGGAGGTTCACATTTACACTTTATTTTATTACAATTTAATGTGTTATAAAACTGCGTACCAAAATGTTTACTAAAGATTTTGATGAAACTTTGTCGAATACTTCAAATATTTGTACTTAGTTTGAGATTTCGCCCTACATGATTTTTGTTAGATAGTTAGCTATACTTTCATAAAAAAATAACAAAAGTTAAATAAACAAACGAAAAAAATCCACAAATTGTTAAAATGGCGCACGGTGTACACCTTGGTATTTACCCATTAATACCCATTTTCGTACCCGGGTATTTACCTAATTTCGGTAGATGCTTATTGAATAAAATTTGTGTACCCCTGCAAATAAAAACTCTACAATTTTTATTAAAATTATGTATGTACAGTATATTACGTTTAGCTGCCTTTTCACTTACGCGCACAATTTTGCCAAAATACTGCTTCATGAAATGAATTTTGTACGATTTTTTCACTTTTAACTGCATTTGCCCTTAGCTACCCTTTTCCGTTTACCAGCCCTGTTTTTGAGTAAGTTTTCTTCGATTTGTATGAAAAATACTTCGCTTGCCATTACTAAAATCTAACATATTATTTAATTAATTTTCGTAGTTCACAAGGTGCTGAAGATGGCATTCCTTTAACTTCAACAGGAATCGTGCACTCGTGAGCAGTGTTGCCGCGAATCAGTTTTAGTGGTAGCCTAATTCCTTTAAAAAAAGGGCTAAAAAAGAGCTAAAAAAAATCCTTGTGGCTAAAAATGGTGGCTAATTTTTTTTACTTACATATACATACATGTGAGATGTTGATTTATTCAATTCAACTTATTACAGTATGGGATTGGTATTTAAAGCGAATAGTATTCTCAAAAATATAGTTGGAAATTAATACAATACGAGTATAGGTTATACAAAATGCTATCAAAGACGGTTAATCTACGTAATGGTATATTCTCTGATCTTCGGTAAAAAAATGCTCGTTCTCCACGTCTATACACCACGGCTGTATCTTCTCGATTGCCACATACATATATAAGTATACACGCAAACATTTTCAATAAGCAATGGTATGGAAAACAACGAACTCTGGAAAAAAAGCAAATATTTTATCCAACCAAAAACCTTTTTGTATAAAAGGGGAAATATACGACACCAGCTTGCTGGCTCCATCAAGTGATTGTACCATCAGGCTCGAAGCATATAACTTACCAGCATGCTGGTACAATATTTATTTCTTTACAAATGAAGTCGAGGAAAGATCAAAATGATTAGAGCCGAAATTTCATAATTTTTCTACCATTCTTTTAAACATTGTGTTTTTTTTTTTAATTCACAACTACTATATCGTGAACCTAATCTTCCACAAACACGGCTTTGACTCATATAGTGCAAGAAATTTCCGCCAAAATACTTTTTACTTAGAAAAGTTAGCTAATTTCACCACTCATGACACCAGCAGCTGGTACAATCACACCACAAGAACATACACAGTCAATCGACTTGATGGGCCATTTAACAAATTAAGCATATTAAGGGCGGTAAACCTAACTATTTTAAACTATCAATCTTTCTTAGTTTAAAAATTCATCTCTTACATAAATCAAAAAAAAAAAAAATTAGATCAAATTAAGCATATTCAACTTTTTCATGCCAAGTATACGTAAATTCTCCCAAAGGGCTAAAAATAGGGCTAGGCGCAATTTTAAATTTATGTGGCCAAACAAAGTATGTGGTAGCTAAATCTAGCCACCAAAGCTAAAACGGCAACACTGCTCGTGAGTTGTTTTCGGATAGTTATAGCGAGAGTGATTATGAGTTCATTCAGGTTTTATTTCATTTGTAATTAGAAACCAAGTTGGTTCTAAAAAAAATAAAATGAATTAGCAACAAGAGTTTACAGGGTGTACATAGCTCAGTGGTTAACGCTTCTGACTTTGAACATCGATTACGCAGGTTCGATCCCCACTAAAGTCTAGAAAAAAGAAGTCTGATGAGTAGATGTGGGTATCTTCGAAATAGCTGCTATAACTTCTACCGCTTAGACTTTGTTGCTTTTTCAATCTTTTCCTAATAAACGATCGTGGTACAATTTAAATAAAAAAATATTAAAAACTATAAAAAACGTTATTTGTTTTCTATTTGAAATGCCTTTTAATTTATTTTAAATTTCCGTACCTATTATTTATACCCACAATTTGGGTAAATACCAAAGTACTTCGGTAAATATCTGGGTACTTACCGGTAAATACCCACTTTACCAATTACCCATTTACCCATGCCCCAGCACTAGGCGCACCGTATTAGTTTGTCCGATTTTTTATTTTTTAGTTTCATTTGACAAGGTGTTTTCACTTATTTGACGGCAAATTCCATTTAATTTGACATAGTCAAAACAAGGTTTCGCAAATGGTCAGCTATGCAATTTAGATCGTATGAGAGCTTATCATTAGTAGGATCCATCCGCCATGCCTACGCAGATAAACTCACTTCCGTTCTATAATTTTGTCAGAATTTAGTTAGATATGTATGTATATTCAATTTTTGATTTACCTTTGGTTTTGGTTTTCATCTTTCAGAAATTGGTGCGTTAAAACAACTGGAAGAACTAAACCTTTCCAAGAATCACCTTAAACGTCTGCCAATTCAACTAAGCGAGTGTCAACGGCTACACGAACTCAATCTCAGTGATAATGTCAATATCTGGCATATACCCGAACGAATCTCTTACTTGCCGTCCCTACAATCACTCTCAGCAGATCGTAAGTAACTCTCATACATTTTGAAGGTGATGCTGGTTTTACACATATCTTGCTCTTTTAAATATCTGATACCCCCTGGTTAGGTTGCGCGCTCATTTATCTTCCGGTTGCGCTCTCCAAGTTTCTCAACCATGTGCGCATCTTTCACAACACTTCCATTACACATGTGCCTATGATTTACGAAAAGTTCTTCCAAACTTTCTATGATAATCGTTCGAAAGCAACACCAATGTAAATATTGCTATTACTTATTATCAGGGAACGGATTTTCAGGACCTAAAAACCTATAAAAAAGGCAAAGTAAAATAACGAAATAGGCAGGAAAAGGCAAAATAAAATAGCGAAAAAGGCAGTAAAAGGCACTAGGTATTGCAAAAAAAGCAAAATAAGGTACTAAAAAAAACAGAAAATACGAAGAACAACCAAAAAATACATTTATTTTAGAAATGTTTATATTACAAGTAAAAAGAGAAAAACTATGAACTAGTTTCATTATATTGAAAATTTGTACTTTGAATCTTTGACTATTTTATCCTTTCGAGTTTCTAACTCATAAAACTTTAATCTGTATAGTTGTAGTAACATTTAACCACAAAATGCATTTTGAAGTTTTCTGGCAGCATTTTCATTCGATTTTCGCGAAGAAGAGCATTGAATGTACTAAATGTGCGCTCGAAGTAAGTTGATACAAGTGGAGCCCAATGTAAATATGGAACGTTTGAAACGTTCATATTATCAGGAATAAGGGCGTTTTCCTCGCCCTTTACAATTTTATCCACACCCGTTATTGTCTCCAAGCCTACGTTAGCTGAGAAAACGGCTTGGAATTTTTCCAACACCAATTTGGCAAGAGGTCCCTGCGCTTCTATAAGCCGCATGTGTATATTTTTTAATCTTAAAATAAAATTTTAAATGCTATAATCACTTTTTTAAAGGTAGAAAAGGCAAATATCTTAAAAAAGGCAAAAAAGGCAACATCAAATGTGTATATATGGAATCAGGGAAAGCTAAATCGTGGACATTCTTAATCGAATATACTCTATCTCTTTAGCTGAAAAAAGGCAATTTCCATAAAATCCGTTCCCTGCTTATTATAAATGAAAATCCGAATTAATACATATGTATATGTACATACTTGTACGGTATATATAGGTCGGTGTCGCACGATAGTTTCTTCTGGGTGTTAGAGAAAGAAACCAATACCAGTTTATTGCTACCTTTTGGAACCCGTCGTATCTTTAGCGTACCATCGCTGGACAACCAAGTAACGCTGTACGATGACTGTATTCGAGCGGTTCAATATCTGGGACGCTTTATGCCCTTGTGGGAGAATGTGGCGCTGAAGCAAATGCTACCTGAAAAGTACATTTATGATCATATAGTCAATGGACCCACCGCTCGTTGTACGATGTTCAATTGCTCTAATCCGCTGTATACTACTTACTACTTTATGGCTGTGAAAAGGTGAGTTGTATTTAATGAACTACATAGGTGACGAGTTAACTCAGCATCGGCAGTTAACTACAGATTTTCAGTACAAATAATTTAAGTTAGCTGCCGAGCGTGAGTTAACTCTTCACTGTGTAAACGGTCCATAACTGAAAATTGAGTTGACCAATAATTTCCGGTCTAGACGTGGTAGTACATCGAAGCAAATTTTTACCTGTTACTTTTGCTCAAATCACTGTGCGAACTTATGGCTGATGGACAACGGGAAAAAGTATTATCAGCTGGACTGGGAGGTTTGTGATCTTTAAAGCGTCTTAGTAAAAAATAGAAGTCTATGTAAATATTAATTAAGGGAAATAAATTTAAGTAAACACAATAAATGTATACAACATTTCTCGTCCTTTTTTATGTTTTGAAATTTCTTATGTTCGGAAACGGATCTTGTTTAATCAGAATCGAATTATGTATAATATTCTACTCTCGGTTTCTCTCACTGATATCCGGATGTATGTGCATATGTAAATATGCAGTTTTAATTGTNCTTGTTTAATCAGAATCGAATTATGTATGATATTCTACTCTCGGTTTCTCTCACTGATATCCGGATGTATGTGCATATGTAAATATGCAGTTTTAATTGTAAAATCCCAGCAAAAAGAAAGAGAATAGTCCTACACTGCAAAAAGAATTCAGTTACGTCAACTAAATATGTTTCTCTCAACACTTGATTTGGTTATACACTGAGGGAAATAATGCATAGTAAAAATGAATACTTTAGATTTATTTGATTGTCGTTTAAAAATGTTCGTATTTAAAAATAATATTTTCATANAGTCGTTTAAAAATGTTCGTGTTTAAAAATAATATTTTCATACAAAATTTATTAAGCATGTATTTGACTGTTCACAACAGAGTATGTATATGTATATGTACGCACCCCAAGAATGCAGAGCGCCGCTCTGAGAGCGGTGACAACACACACATACATACATAGTACATACATGCCCTGCAAAAAATGGTGCGACTAATCTCTAAAGAGAGTATTCCGAGATTACTCTCAATCAAGAATGATAGAATACAAGATTGCGCCAATGAGAGAGGATTTNTTCACAACAGAGTATGTATATGTATATGTACGCACCCCAAGAATGCAGAGCGCCGCTCTGAGAGCGGTGACAACACA